CTCTCTCTCTCTCTCTCTCTCCTCTCTCTCTCTCTCTCTACCAACCCTTTTCCACCATTATCGTGAGACTTTTTCTCGCACCGTTCTCCGTTTGAGGGGACGCTCTTTTCCTTTGTGTGTTTATTTTTTTTCGGGTTAATGACGAAATCCTTCATTCCCTACTACTCGGACGGGATGGAGCCGCAGATGTGATCTGGTGATCCCCGATTTCAAGTTGCCGCATTCCTTAGGAAGCATATCACGCACACCGAGACCTCGGTTTTTTTTCCTTCTATTTTCACGTTACTCCTGCATCTCTTTCTGCATTTTTACTTTTATTTTTTCTCCTCTTCACGATTCACGACATTGACGCGACGCTGCGCGCTTCAACTCGAAGCCGCGCCGGACTCATCTACTCTTTCAACTCCAAAACGTCCTCAAGTTCCTCTTAGAAGTCGCATTGACCCATAATCTGCGGTTTGCAAGACTGCAGGATTGCCAGTATGGCTCAACGTCAGCTTTCGCGCACGCTCCCAAAAAACTTTACCTTCTCCCTCGGCGACAATGAACCAAAGACTCCCGAGCGGCCTCGCACCACCATGAATGTACCTCCACCACCTCGTCACTCAATATCTAGTGGCCGTTTACCTAGAGTTCGGGCTCGCGCTGGTACCAATGTCTGCGCTCGCATGGACATGGATATGTTCCAGTTCCACAGCTCTGATGTTCCCCTGCCTTCGATCGAAGTGCCCCAATCGACTATCAACTTTGAGGCTGCTTCATTCAGTGATTTCGCCACCGATGAGGGATATCTCGCGCCTCCTCGCGTGCGAATGGATTTCAAGACGCCACCTGCGCAGATCCGACGCACACCTTTCGATTCCCGCGACACTAGAAACCCGTGGCCATCGTGGGACCAGACGCCCGGCCTTAACAACATCAAGCGCGCAGACTCGGTCTGTTCGACTTTGTCAAATTCTTCAATTGAATCCATTGAAACCTTTGCATCGCGACCATCTGTAGGAAGTTTCACCAGCATCGAGAGCGATTCATTTGACTCGTATTTTCCTTTGGATATGTCAAAAGAACCTGAGATCGAGTCGCCTTCGCGGCCTCAGAAACAGCCGGTGAAAGTCCATGTGTCGAAGAAGTCCTGGACTCGCGACATGGATACCCACTTATGGAATACCTATCAAATTTACCTTCAGGACCCTACTATGACTCCATTTAAGATGACACCTGGCAGTATCCCCCCTTTGGGAGTCACCTCGCGTGTTGCGCGACGCGCCAAGAAGACATGGGGTCAAAAGAGCAGTCGCATTGTTCAATCTGTCTCGATAAAGTCTGCTGATCCCATTGAAATCTCTACACCCAAGGCTATGGAAGAAGAGTCGCAACCGGCCTGGCCTAAGTCAGACTCCAAGACTCGACGACGCCTCAAGATGCTATGTCGACGCAAATTCTCAATTTCTCCCCACTATCAGCGCATCATGCAGTCTCGCACTCCCGAGCCTGTCACGAAGATGTTCGATCCTACTACGGATACCCGCGTGAAAGACTTCGCTGACAACTCGGCCTACACTACTCGTGACCTCGGCGTTTCTCTTGTCACATCCTGCGAACCGACCCCACTTTCTAAGGTAACACAAGAAGTGCCGTTGACTACGGACTGGTTTAACAACCCCGTTTCTGCTCATGCCGAGCCACGGGTGGCCAAGACTCCTAGTCAGCATCTTCGTGCGGAATCTGCTCCTAGCATCCCTCGTCTAGGATCTCCATTCGTGTACAGCACTTGGGGCCCCGGTGGATCAACCTGTCAGATCCATGACTCTAATACTCGACGTGGGACTATTCATGTTCCGGGTTATCGTGCCCGACGCAACACATACTTCGACCAGCCTTTGCCTAGTACTGTCGATGTATTCCCAAGCGTATCCAGGGAGCAGAGTAATCCTTCCGATCAAGAAGTTGAACGTCGCTTGGAGGATTATGTTCGTGACAATAAGTTCCAAGACATGGGCCATGGTCGGGTTCGCATTCGCAATCGTGGAGCTACCACTAGCGCTGTCAGCCCCAGAGAAATGGACCAGCTTTTCTCCCCGCCATCTTCCCTCAATTCAGGCCCTATTGAGCCCGATGAGACTACACCTGTTCTGAACCCCCCTATGAATCCATTGTTAGACCTCGGCGAAAACATCAAACGCCTCGGCTCACCCTTCCGGATCGAAGGAAAGCACAAGCGTCGTGAAGTCCCGAAGCGAGTCAGTAGACAGGCACCTGCACTGTCCGATCCATTCTCGAGCGGTGGCCCTTCATATGTCGGGCAAGACGACACTACATCTCTCATGCAGGTTTCCCCAGCTCATGTTTACGATAAAGCTCCAGGTACTTTGCCGTACAATGCCTCCGAAGACGGTCTTTCTGATGCTGAGCGCATCCGCCGGCAAATATTGAATATGCCTTTCACACGCAACTAAGTTGCAGCCCTTTTTTCGCTGTCGAATTTTCAAGTATCCGTTTCATCGTGGCGTCGATTTCTTTGCGAGATTTAATCCCCTTTGCATTATGACTTGAACGAGATACCGACAGGGCCCGGGTAGGGCCCTTGCATTTCCAGCCTTTTCACGACAGCAACACTATCCACGACTATTACGATATGCCTGAACGATTTCTTCATGCTCAACCTTGAAAATCACAATACTGAACCCCCAACGACAAAAAACCCAAAATCCCCCAAAATCAAAGTGACGGGTCTTTCCACTGTCCATTTGGTCGAAACCCGCACACAGTACATGGGCATCTGGCTGTTGGTTACCTGCCTCCGAACATTTACTTCGTTGGTCTACTTACGACAATCAGACTGTGCGTGGTTCTGTTTTGCACCTTTTACTCGGTAAAATTAGCAGTTTCATCTTGCCTTCACTCATTACCTCATTTCCTTTCTTCCCATGGGGGGATTTCACCTCGAAAAAATAACCCAAACGTACAAAAAAAGGTTGAAAAAACTCCAAAATACATATCTGCTGTCAGCAATCAGCAACCACTCGTTATTTTGCGACCCACGCTCCTTTCAGATTCTCTTTAATCTTCCTTTCTCAGACCTTGTCTAGTCATTTATCCCCTGCATCTCATACACGGTACGACATGCCTTTCCCACCAAGTCATGCTGGAGATGCGGCCCGAGCTGATGATGGCCTTTCGAATTACCCGTCACACATGGAAACGACTCCCTCCCTCTTTGTTGACACTCGCCAGTCAGCATAGATGGCAATGCACCCCCTCAAAAGCGAATGTGTAACGATACATATGCAATTACATAGACGAACTGAAACGAAACGAATGCGCTTGAATATTGCAGTTGACCAACGACATCCCTGACACGCACGCAAGGTGTTTGGTTTTCTTTTGCCTGCGATCCCCATTTCTTCTTAATTTGCATCTCATGATCTCAATCTTGAAGCTGATTTCCCCTGACATTTTCCCTTCTCGATTGGTGATCCACGACTTACCTCATGCTTTCGATTCTCAATTTGATTCAGCTCGCGCTCCATGATTCCCCTTGTGACGAGCCTTATTGGGTTTGCATCCGGAAAATCGCGTGTCTTTTTCTCTGGCCTTTTTCCATGCCTCTTCTGCGTCTCATGGCGTATGGATGTCTGTCTCTTTTTCAGAGTCTTCTTTTTCGCTGGACCTTTGTGATCTTGCTCTGGAGCTTGTGAGATTTGGCCGTTTTTATCTATTCTTCTTCTGATTTATCGTTGTCCTGTGAAGGTTGATCTTTTGAAGCCATGGCTTTGTTTGATCAAACTGATCGGCCAATTGAATTATCATATTAACTATTTTCATCCCTTTTTCGGTTTTACGTCACCGATTGCCTGATAGCTTCGTACCTGGGTTCCTGAGCATGTTCCATCTTGCAAAGGGCTGCATTTCTATCATTCTCAATGCGCGCTTTTCAAGAATCATTGGCAGCGGTTAGACCCCTTACATTCCTCGACCTCGTTTGGAACACATTATATGAATTATGCATGCTTATTTAGGCTTGGTCAGCCTTAGGTCCCATCCTGACTCAGTAAGCTTTAGTCTGTTCCATTTACCCTTTGGTTTCTTCATAATTGAGGCCACAGCCGAGCAAATGGTACATTACTTGTGGAGGGGTTTAAAAGAAGCGATCAAGATGAACACAAGATGCTTGGATAGCCAACAAATAGCTGTCCTCAATTTCATGTGGAATTGATATCAGGCAATATCTACAGATCGAAAAACCGATCAACAAACAGGAGTAAACGAGAATGAAAAAAACAAGCAACATGTAATGTAGTAAGATAACGGGGGGTATAAGTCATAAAACACGGATGCAACGAGGGAAATCGATACAAAAAAAACTGGGTTAAAAGAAATTTCACTTGTCCAATTTCTTCTTTCGATCAGCTAGGAGAATCTCAATCTTCCGAATCTGAAGAGCAAGACCCTTTTTCTCAGCATTGGCAAGGAGCCATTCCTCCATGCCGCGACGAACATGCCGCATAGAGTGTAAGACAGGCAGAATAGGCGCGGAGGACAGACCCGCATCAACTCCGTTATCGCGCTCGATGCGCTGCCAGCGCTCAGCGCCAGGATTCAGCAAGAGATCGAAGACACCAGCCCAGAGTTCACGGTCCCAGTATCGTTTCAACGACTCACGGATGCGATAAGTGCGGGATGATGATTTCCCGTCGCTGCCATCGATGGCAGTTGATTCGACGTACTTGCCGAATAACAAGACGTGGATTACGCCGGCAATGCCGTACAAGTCGATATGGTGGGTCCAGGGGCGCATCTCACGGATCTCGTTGCACTCGTGCGTACCGGTTTCCCAGTCAGCAATGAATTGCACGGCTGGCGAGAAGGCTTGCATGTCGATGCTGCGACCGAAGTCGATCAGGGACAGGCCCTTTTGTCGCCAGCCATGAGAGCCGCTTGGAGAGTAGTGTGTGCTTTCGCGGGGATCCAAGGCTGTTTCATCTATACCGAGTTTGAGCAGGGAGAGGGCCTTGGAAGGCGATTCGTTGGGATTGTGGTCATCTAGACGGACGAGGCAGTTGTCGGCTTTGATGTCACCGTGGAGGACGCCATTGGCGTGAAGTGCTTCGACAGTGCGGAATAGCTCGACCGAGAAGAACATTGCTAGGACTTCCTCGAGACCGCCTTCAGAAGTAGGGTTGGAGTTGATGGTTTCATTGCGGACGATGTTGACAAGGTCAAGAATAGTCCCTTGACCTCGATAGTCCTCCACCAGGAAACTTTCACGTCGATGAACATGCAGTTCGTGTGCGCGAACAATGCTATCGGTGGCGCGAGAATGACCTGTGGATTGTCGTAGGCGGCTATATGCTGTGCGAATCATGTAAAACTCCCACGCGCTTGATGGTCCATTTTCGACCTTGACTGCTTCGAAGGGGAATCGAGGAGTCTCATAAGCGTTCGATTTTCTAAGTTTGGAAGTATTGCCGTTAGGGCTTGTGCTATCGTCAGAGTCGGAGTCGTAGGATTCAAGACTGTCGACACTTTCAGCGAGATAGACGGGAGCATATGCACCAGCTCCTAGCTCACGTCTGATAATGTAGCTTCGTTCCGCTCCTGGAAATTCGAGGATGGGAGTGTCAAATGCCTCGTTCCCGCCACTCTTTGATCGCCTGGTGTTATTTTTGACGAATTTCTGGATAATTGAAGCATAGTTGCTATCTTCAACATGACCGTGATAACCTGTGTACGTCGCAAGAGGCTTTTCAAGGGAGTTGAGGATTGTGTTGCGGATGCCCTTGTCAGTCGGATTGCACTGCGCATCCCTAATTATCGGTTCCCTACTCCGGAGCTTGGGTGCGAGGGCCCTGAAGGCCATGGGACTAAATGGCACATCAACTGTAGACGCAACGGTGTGATCTCCCTGGTATGGCGTGCTTGTTCCCAGTGGACTTGAAAGCAAATAGTTACTGGCCGGTGAGCGAGGCTTCGAAGGCGTTTTAGCGTTGTAAATGCTGTTTCGAGCGGCTGTTAAAGAAGGGATGGATTCCGTTCGCTCTACAATAGGTGTCATAAAGGGGAGGCGGTTCTGGGCCATGATCGCAGGGTCACGGTAGGTCCCCCATGGAGGAGCGTAGTCCTCAGGCATTTCTGGTATAAATCCTTTCCTCTCCGGTGTTCCTTGTGTCGAGCTATCTTCCGCTCCATTACTGACGACAGAATGTGAGGTAACTTCAGCATTTTCAATGTCCGGAATATCACGATCTGGGTTGAACTCTGTCCAATCGCTCCCATCGCCATCGATGCTCTCAGCTCGTGTGGTGTTGGCATAGTCAGTGTCGTCGTAGGATTTGTGGAACGTTTGAGTCTCCTCGTCTCCAAATTCGCTAGAGGCCGCTGATATGTGCCCTGTCCCTGTGCTATCTCCAGCACTGGCGCAGTCGTCATCTTCGTAATCGCTGCCGCAGAAGCTGTCTGCGTCTTCCTCTGTCTCTGCCTTTAATGGCTGATTGAAAATGCTATAGATCTCATCCGTCGCTGCACGAGTGTGCATGGTCATTGTCGGTTCCCGAGTGCTCTTTCGCCGGACCTTTTTGTTATTGGACGGGGAGTCAAACTTCATTTTAACTGCACAGTTGTGAGTTTAACATGCCTGAAGAATGAGAACTCATATCCCTTACCTGTTTGTGTTTGTGATGTTTCCCCTTTGATCTTGGTGCGACTCGCTTTGCCAAATTTGCGTTCATAGCCTTCGTCTTGATGTTGAGATTGAGGGCGACTAGCCGAGGTGAGGTTTTGGCCTAAATGCTCTGGCAATTCCCCTGCTGAATGAGGTTTCTCTAGCAGTGACTCGGTACTGCCTGTGTTCTCAGAGATCTGATGCAAGAGCTCTTTTTGTTGTCGCCAATTCTTGCCCATCCAACCACGATTGATGGCCCTGAGCTCTTCGAAACTCATCTCATGTGCTGGGTTGGTGCGGTTAGGGTATACGGATTCCAGGTTGACAAATACACGTTCGCGTCGGCCAGTCCGCGGGTTAATCGCTTCCCTTACGTGATGTTCGGGTACTTCTTTTAGTGGCATTGGTTCTTCGGAAGAATGATCTGGATTGGACTGGATACATAAAAAAACACCATAGGTTCATGCCAGCAATTAGTCCTATGATCGTAAATATGTGGAGGTCTGAAGAGGGAAAGGGCAACATGGAATGGGAACTCACCTCGTCCCGGAAGATAGCCATCTTTTGTGTTGGCGCCGCTTTCTTCCCAACCTTCAATGTTTCTCCTGCCCAGGGCTTTGCCGCCACCTCGTTCTCCTTCTTACGGTCCCGAATCGATCCAATGCTTTCCCATCCCTTCGTCGATCCACTAGTTGCGGGGCCCGGCGCAGCCGAGTCAGCGTCTGAAAAGATAGCCATCTTAGGCTTTCCGGATTTGGTTTTTGCCGCACCGCCCGTCTGAGGCGGGGGCCGTGAAGCCTGTGCGTCAGGAGAGGCATCTGATGGCGCGAACGGGTTCGTCTTGGCGGCCAGCGCGGGACGGACCGGTGGCAAAGCAGGCGATGAAGGCCCGGTATCTTGTGGACGCTGGTCGTATCGGAATTGAAACTCGCTGTATTTCCGTGCCAATCTCTCGACTGGTCGCGCCTCACGGTCCATACCGAGCCTGTACACCTCATCGGCTTGTGACCACCGACCAGCACCCTCTAGCCACCCGGCAAATTCCTCATAGAAAAGAGCCAGACTTTCACCAATTTTATGACGCGCAAGGAATGCAAATGTCTCGCGTGGGGCATCGGAGAAGAGTTGAACATAATGAAGCCATAATCGTAGATACCGAGGGTCGTTTCTGTAGTGTGATGACGAAAGAAACGATTTCGTTGCCTGTTCCAATAAGGGAAGAAGACCGGATTCTGCGGTCGCTTGTGCGGACGGATACGCGTTCAGGGTCCATTTGACATAACGGTCATAAACATCGAGCGGATCGTCCGATTCTCCTATCGACTGCAATTCACATTCGAATTCTTGGCGCATAGCATCGTTGATATTCCTGGTGCCATTTGGCGATGGCAACGAGATCTTGTCACCGTTACTGCCGGCTGAAAATATCCGGGCAAGTTCTCTGGCTGATCGGCCACCGGGCAGTGATTGGACGTTTTCCTTTTGTGCTTCGATGATATCGAAGTCGACCAGCTCTTCAGAGGCTGCCATGTTAGCAACAGCGACAGATTAAGAAGAAATCACACAGATCCCAAATTGCATCGAAGACCAAAAGTTCAAAAAGAGCAAGCAATAACTCTGGCGGGGCTGCAAGGAGATTCTTTGGTTATCGATAAACATCACATGACTGTTGCTATGGAGACAGTCACGTGGCTCGTACTTCTTCCTTGGGTTCGTTGCGTTACGCTCCACTGACGGCTTCGGAGCCTAGAAGATGCAAATTTAGCTATTCTATAAGCTCAATTTGTTTTTCTGACCATACACTTCATCTAAATTTCGGTCGTTTTGAGTCTGCACAGTGTGTAGGGTTCTTGATCCGCGAGACTTGGCAATATCAACTTCTTCAGGTCTTCGATCAGGGTTACCCACTTAGCTCAAGAGGCTCTACACTGTGACGCTCTCAGTGCTATGTGTTGCCAAGAACCTAACTCGCCAATATGCGAAGATTTTGGATCTAAGGTCAACCATAAACGGAACCTCAGTAATGGAACTTCAGAGCTTTCGCCACCCAGACGATCCAAGCGACAGAAACCCACTACAAATTTTAAAGAACTGTCTTCTCCAGAAGCCTCAGATTCAGAGACTGAAGAATTTGCTCCTGCAGTGAAAAAAGAGGCTGACGACAAACCCCTGGTTGATACTCCCAAGAAGAATAGAAAGAAGGCTCCAGTTAAGAAGGAGTCCAACGAAGACGTCAAACCTATAAAGGCGAGAAAGTCTAAGAAAGACCAGGAACTTGAGAGTATGCCTTTGGTACCCCGGACTAAGGGTCTGCGTATGTTCGTCGGTGCTCACGTCAGTGCTGCAAAAGGTCAGTGTTCGCAGCAGCTCATCGTCTCCATTCGACAATAACCCATTGATTATCGAGCAGGTGTCTTCAACTCCATACAAAATAGCGAAAATATAGGGTAAGTTTGAATTACTTGCAAGCATATCCAAGTTTGAAAATGATTCGAATCTTACAATTAGGGGAAATGCATTCGCCTTGTTCTTGAAGTCACAGCGTAAATGGGAAAACCCAGCTCTCCAAGACGACCATCGCGATAAGTTCCGTAAGCTTTGTGCAGAAAAGGGTTATGATGCAGCCAAGTGAAATTCCCTCATCTGAATGGACCCGGATGGATCACTAACATCTACTGCTCAGACACGTTCTCCCTCATGGCTCATACCTTGTCAATCTGGCCCAAGACGACAAAGCCAAATCAAAGCAAGCATATAACTCCTTTCTGGATGATCTTCGCCGATGTGAGGCACTTGGAATTACACTTTACAACTTCCAGTGAGTCGACTGTCTGGCAACCATCTCAGCCCATACTAACACTCTCAAGCCCAGGAAGTACCAATCAGACACCTCTGCCCGAAGCACTTTCCCGCCTGGCAAATCTGTTAGTCCAGGCCATCAGCGAAACGAAGACCGTAGTTCCCGTCCTGGAGACAATGTGCGGCCACGGCAACTCAATTGGCGGCGCACTGTCGGAGTTCCGCGACTTGCTGGCTCTAATCCCGAGAGAGCACCACTCCCGCATTGGCATCTGCGTAGACACCTGCCACAGCTTTGCAGCCGGCTACGATCTAAAGTCCCCAGCCGGATTCAAAGCCTTCCTCGACGAATTCGACGAGCTAATCGGAATCCAGTTCCTCCGAGCTCTGCACCTCAATGACTCAAAGGCACCGCGGGGAAGTAAGCGCGACCTGCACGCCAATATCGGCACGGGGTTCCTCGGCCTGCGGGCGTTCCACAATGTCATGAACGAGCCGCGGTTTGAAGGGCTACCGATGGTCCTTGAGACGCCTATTGACCGTGTCCCGGGACAGAATGTAGCCACTGGAGACGATGCAGCCGATAGCAATGAGAGCGGGCCTGGAATGAAGAAACAGCCAAAGAAGGGTCCCAAGAGACCTGCTGGTGCGGGTGCAGCTGCTGTTCCCGATCCGGGTGTATGGGCGGGTGAGATCAAACTACTTGAGTCACTGATTGGGATGGACCCCGAGGGCGAAGAGTTCCGGGCTCTGGAGGCTCGCCTTTCGGAGGAAGGTCGTGCGGAGCGCGAGAAACTTCAGGATCAGTATGAGCGCAAGCTCGAGGCGGATGGGGAAAAAAAAGCGAAGGGATCAGGAAAGGCAAAGGGACAGAAGAGTCTGATGGACATGATGAAGGGTGGCACTGCGAAGGGCTAGATGTGGATTTTTCCTTGAGCTCAGAGCAGAGGGTCAGCAATGCGATGGGACATTCGTCTCGGGTTTCTGTGTACTTCTTATACCTTTCGTCAGACTAGAGTAAAAATGAAGAACAAAATCATTACAACATCCAAAGGCTCTCCAGATGAAAATCAGCTGAGAGATGACCTTTTATAGCCGTTGAAAGTAGGAAATTCAATTGATGGTATCCAAGATCCAAAAACCCCTTCATGCTAATAGAAATAAGAAGTAATGTGCTGGTAAATCCAAAGTTCGACCAAGTCATTTTTGTGAGAGTAGACTTGCGATTTAAAGATTCACACTAGGTTTTCTTCGGGTAGGTCACAGACCCTCCAACATCGTATCATCACATGCATGTGCAATATAGGTAGACGAAAAAAAAGAGAGGAGTAGTTAAAAGTGAGTGTGAAATACTGGGGCTAAGTGAAATTTTGGCTCCGAACGGGCGAAAGAGACGAGCTCGATTGTATACCCGGCGATGCTTCGCGGTCAGGGACATGTAAGTGAAGGAACCCTGCCTCTGCCATTTGAGTGACAGTAGCAGGTGCTGATTTAAGCAGATAAGGCGGACCATCATATCCTAGAATGATAGAAGTCGAGATTGAGAGACCGCGCCTGGCACCACTGGTGCGCACTCAGAATGAGCACCGTTAGTCACCGGCTGATAATGATTGGTGGTCATCGTTGAGATAACCACCAGGTGCAGAGCTAATGATGCTGGATTCCTGATGGGCAACTCGGCGATAATCCCCCGGTTCACCACTGCTATGCTCGCCTTCGTCGGTGTCAGATGCAGGACTCGACTCGCGACTCGAGGAGTCAGTTTCCGGTAGCTCGCTGCGCATTCCTGCAATCTTCATGTAGTTGTATGCTGCAATGCTGCTGATAGTGACGACCAAACCGGTCGCATTGACCGTTGTGAGCTTATCGTGGAAGATAATGCCCGCGGCGCTGATTGTGACTACTTCTTTGAAGATCCCGCAAATACTCAGGGTGACAACTGAGGAACGCTTCAGAAGCGCAAACTCCGAGGAAATCATGCAGAATGCAAGTACTCCAGGGAAAATCAGAAGTAAAGAGCCAAATAGTTTGCCATTTTTGCTGGCGAGCGCGAGGTATCCTTGGTAGATCTCATGAGGACCTTCGATAGATAGTGCGATGGTGATAAGCGAAAGAAACATGATGGGAGTCAGGAGAAAGAGAGTTGAGAATGGATTTGAAGTAGCCGGGTGGCGAAGCAACAGAATTTGGGTCAGTCCCCATCGGAAGCCCGAAAAGAACGCAGAAGCAATGACGAGTGCGAAACCAAGCGCATTGAACGCTGTCTCGCCAGCGACCATCATCACAACACCTACTGTCATTGTGGCAATGATGATGATTAATTTTGTCGATGGTGTTTCAAGACGGAAAAGGAAGGCGAATAATAGGACGAAGGCAAGTGCAGACGATTTGCACATAGTTAAGAAAGTAAGAGAGATGAACTTCAAGGACATATTTCCAAGACCAACGTCAAGCGAGGTTGCTGCACCACACGGAACGAGGCGAGTGAAGTAGAATAACTTGGAGATGAGGGGTTGTGGTTCCTCGGGCACATCGATGGGAGATGTAGCCGCAAACCCTGTCTGCTGTTGTGGACGAAGCGATGGAAAGATCCAGAGGATTATAACGGAGAGAGAGAATTGGACAGCCATATGTAAGCTCGTTGTAAAAAGAGGGAAAGGGAAGACGATATCGCTCTCGGAGAACATCCATTTGTTGTACTGCAAACAAAACGATTGTTAGTACCTTCTTGACTTGCAAAACGAGTGCAAAGAACCACTCACTATTGAAATAGACAGCGAGAAGAGATACCACAGCAAGATCAGCCCGCCGTTAATTAGTAGCTTCTTGACAACGTTTCTGTCCGACAGAATCTCACGAATAGAACCCTGGCCCTTGACATCTGCGATTCGAGCATCCAGCTTGCGGCGCTGCTTTCGTCGTCGACGTCGCTGACGTTTTTGATGTGATGTGAGTCCGGTTTCCTCGTCATCTTGATCATCATCCGAACTCATCGGGTCCAGCTCCAGAGTCTCTGCAGCGGATAAGATATCGGACGCATCAGTGTCATCTTCAGCGGTCAAAGGTTCCTGTTCTTCGCGTTTGTGGTTCCCTCCATCTCCATGCGACCAGAGCATATCCTCTCTGCGCTCTGTCAAAATCGGTTGTGAGGCTCGCCCTGTCCCGGCAAGCATGGAGCTTCGCCGACGGTGGTGGGCGCCGGCGGATAGCCCCATTCTAATAACTGGGACAGTTACGTGGAAAGTAAAAGATCGGAAGCGAGATTTATCTCCATTAACGTGGACGGAATAAGTTTGTCACACGAAAATGCACGAGAGCAAAAAGCCTCGGGGAGTAGACAGGGGAATATGCTGACAAAGAAACAAAGAGGGGAGGAATCGATCTGGGAAGAACCTTGGAAGTTTATCCAACAAAGTGAAAGCTCCAAGAAGAAAAGAAATTGAAACAAAAATGGGGGGAAAAAAAGAGAGAAGAACAAAAAAAGGCCTGAATTCAAAGCAGTTCAAAGGAATGGCAAAAATTAGGAATTAAAGGGCGGTGATGTTTCTATTTCCTTCAGGTTTCTCTCTCTTCTCCTTTCTCACCTTTCCCTGGCCACCTCTCATTGGTTGCACATTTTTTATATCGGTCTCCACTGTCCGGTCGATCCGGGGTCAAGTGGGAAAAGAATATGTGGAATAGTTTCGCTATTTCGTTATTTCACTAACTCACCATTTCAAGTTTCAATTTTTCCGAGATTGCTGGTTTGAACGGTTTAGGAGGTCTGGGGAATCTTCTCCGGTTCGGATTCTCATTGGTGGACTGAAACCTCCGGCCTTGACTGGGAGATACTTGTGAAAGCCCAACCTCTCTTGATCGGGGTTTATTACTCGGTGGTCTCGGATTTGACACAGCTCGTGGTTGACAGAAAAGGCTAGATATTTACTAGTCTCAATGTGAGTCTATTTAAGAAACGACAACTTATCTCTGGTCAAACTCGCCAAGTTTATCTCTAATGAAGAAGCCCTATACCCACTCGGCATAGCCATGACCTCAGATCCAACCATTATCATCATCATGTCGTGGTGTCTCCAATCAGTTCCGGGAATGATAAATGTCGGAGGATGCGGATGATAAGTGACATTGTGAGGCATTGTATCTACCTCTCTGTTTCCACTTCTTCTTCCACTTCTTCTTCTTCTTCTTCTTCATCATCTTTGTCTTATTTTTGTCCATCTTCCATCTTCTTTGGGTCGATGCTGCAAAAATTGCATTGGATCTTTATTAAAAACTTCCACGGTATTTTAAGCTGGCACTGGATCTTTTTGCCATCTAGCTCGCCTTGTCATCATGAGTGAACCTTTGTACAATGCCATTGAGGACTATGGCCTGATAGGGGACATGCACACCTGTGCCCTGATCAGCAAGGCCGGTAGCTTGGATTACATGTGCTGGCCAGTCTTTGACTCTCCCACCGTTTTCTGTCGCCTGCTAGACGACAGAAAAGGAGGGTTCTTCTCCGTGAAGCCCTACAAGACGGTGGTGGATGCCCACAGCAAGCAGCGGTATCTTCCATACTCCAACCTGCTTGAAACCAGGTGGACAAACGAGGATGGTGTCGCGACATTGTTGGACTACTTCCCCGTCACACCTAAGAAGGGTGCGCAGTCATCCCGGTTGTTGTCAGGATACTGTCCCTGCAATGAACCGGGCACCAATCGCTTCAAGTCTGGACTGCAGCACTCGGGTCTGATCAGAAAGCTGGAGTGTAGCCGTGGCTCGATGGAGTTGCAGGTGCAGTTGTTCCCGGCTTTTAACTATGCCCGAGAGTCGCACAATACCCGTGCAAAGCTTGAAAACGACTTGTCCAAGCACCGGCTGCAGACCGTTCACTTCGAGAGTGAGACAGAGCGGCTGCAACTGGAAATCTTTGCCGATTCACGGGAGCCAGATAAACTTGGCTTCCCCTCAGCGTCTTTGAAACTGGAAGAACGGGACGGTCTTCGTGGCCGCGGATTTGTAGCCTGGATCCGTCTGTCGGAGGGTCAAACTATTCATCTAGTGTTGCACAGTCCTGAAAAGGCTGTTCCCAGCTCGGCCACCATGGCAGCCTACCTCTTGAAAATGGAAGAGGAAACTTCTGACTATTGGACCGATTGGACACGCAAGTGTGCCTTCCGTGGTCATTACCGAGAGACAGTCGAGCGCAGCCTCCTCATTCTGAAGCTGCTGACTTACAAACCGACGGGTGCTATTATCGCGGCGCCCACCTTCTCGCTCCCCGAAAATGTGGGAGGCGCCAGAAACTGGGACTATCGGTACTCCTGGGTGCGTGACACAGCATTCACGTTGTACGTCTTTCTCAAAATGGGATACAGCCAAGAAGCGGAAGCGTATGTCAACTTCATCTTCGAGCGAGTCTTTCCGCATGCTTCCCAAGACCTTGATCCCAACAGCAAAAAGCCCTTCTTGCCGCTGATGTTCACGATCCGGGGTGAGTACGATATCCCCGAGGTGGAACTGGACCACCTCGAAGGGTACAAAGGCAGCAAGCCTGTTCGAATTGGCAATGCTGCCGTTTTCCACACGCAGCTGGACATTTACGGTGAATTGTTGGACAGTATCTATCTGTACAACAAGCACGGAAACCCCATCACCTATGATCAATGGAATTCTATCCGGCGTATGATCAACTACGTCGTCGGTGTTCGGAACCAGAAGGATATGTCCATTTGGGAATCGCGTGGCCAGATTCAAAACTTTATCTATTCGAAGATCATGATGTGGGTGGCTCTGGATCGCGGAATCCGCCTTGCGGAGAAGCGTGCTAGCCTGCCATGCCCCGATCGCTTTGATTGGATCAGGGTTCGTGATGAGATGTATGATGAAATCATGACCAAGGGGTACAACGAAGAGCGTGGCCATTTCTGCCAGAGTTATGAGAGTACTGAGGTCCTAGATGCGTCTATCTTGATTGCACCCTTGGTCTTCTTCGTTGCGCCCAATGATCCGCGATTCATCAGCACGTTGAAAAGGATTTTGCAAAGCCCCGAGAAGGAGGGTTTGTCCAGTGCCAAGATGGTGTTCCGATATGACCACCAGAAGGCCAATGATGGTAGGCATCTGTGCTCCTACAACTTTTGGCTTATCAAATCTCTAGGATAATTACTAAGACTCATGTTGCACAGGTATGACAGGAGGCGAGGGTGCCTTCATCATGGTCACCTTCTGGCTTGTTGAAGCCATGGCTCGTGTATGTTTATTGGAACTACACCCCAAAAAGGAAACAAATTGAAGGATGCTAACCAGTGTTGAAATTGGAAATATAGGCCGCTAAATATGATGTGCCTATTCCAAATATCTGGAAACTCGCGCTTTCGCACTTTGACAACATCCTGTCCTACGCGAATCACCTGGGAATGTTTTCTGAAGAAGTGGCTATTTCTGGTGAGCAGATGGGTAACTCGCCACAGGCTTTCAGTCACCTAGCCTGTGTTAGTGCCGCAATAAATCTGGGAAGAATTGGACGAGTTGGTAGTGATTAGAGTCACCTCCCCACTCCAGTTGGTGGCAGCTATAGACTGACTATTGTCACTGCTGGTTTTTGGGGGAAAAAGAATTTTCGATCTAGTTCTATAATATTTGCTTAAGAATCAGAAAACAAAATGCAAATTGGTTCCCTTTTCGTTCCGTCACAATCTATAGGCAACATTAAAGAAGATAGCAAAGATATTCTTCACGTCCTGGTTAATCATCACAACTGCTTATGTAACGGAACAGTTGATCACCCGGGAGCTCCAGGGAGGTTACCCCAGATTCCCTTTATCATCATCTTGGGCTGTCTTTGTGCAAAATAATCATATCTGAACAGAAAAAAACCAGGGGGGTGTTTCTCTTCAGCTTCTAGCTTGAAATGTTCTTCGCCACCAACCCATCGTGCCTTACTACCCCCGTGATCTTACAGGAATCCCCACTTGTCTAATGGCAGGCGCCAGCTTGGATTGGCCTGATAAGCCCAACGCTGATGTCGCCCTGCCATCGGATGAAGAGGACTTAATTTCCAGCCCAAGCACTGCTTCAAGGGAGCTTGAAGGCGCTGCCAAGCAAAATATGACACTGGCTTTGGGGAAGCGGCGCGTGGAACAAGAGGGCTTGTATCAATCCTCCGAACAGGATGCGACTCCAACACTTCCCCGCACCGAAGGCCCAAATCAAGCCCTTTCAGAACAGCAAATGGATAGCAATCCTTTGCAGCTGCTGGACTTGCCTTTGGACATTTTGAAAGAAATCATTAAAGAGGTAACACAGGTTCTCCCCGCAAGTCGTGAATAGATAGCTTACAGTTCTGGTGTACAATAGGTGACCCATACGACTGACCTGACTTCGCTCGCTCTTACTTGCTCTGCTCTTCATTCCCTAGCTATTCCGCACATGTACTCCCGTTTTGACATCGTCTGGCCCGAGTCGCTGAACCCATCAACAGATGACTACTCTGGGGTGGATGCTCTGTCTTATGGTCTTTCCACATTGGTCATGTGCGAGGATGTATTCAATCGGCTGCCGCGGTTTTCATCCGACCAAGTCAAATATAGCTGTTTGAATTGTGGTTGCGGTAACCTCCACCAGCCAGACCCGAACCCTAAGGGCAGCGGAGTTCGGTTCCAGTCGAGACGAGGCAATAACTATGCACAGTATACCCGCACATTCTCTATTGGAAATGGCCCACTCAGCTGGGTACAAGAATACTCGGTGACCAAAGAAGTGGGTAAGATGCTAGGGACGCTGGTAGCCCTAGCAGTTGCCCGGATGGTGAATCTCGAAGCATTCATTTGGGACATGCCGACTGGAGTGGTCCGTGAAATTTGGCTGGCGCTTGCGTCATTAGCAGATCGGCCAGGACACGATTGTCGCCTAGAGCGTGTTTGGGTGCGCTGGCATGACAATTCAGAGAATGCTTTGCGCAGTTCTTCAGCAGTGGCAACGAGGCTCTTCCAAAAGTACAAACACGTGGAACATCCTTCCTTGTCGGTATTGCCTCCGCTCAAGAGCGTAGCTGTTCTTGACATAGATGAACCAGCCTATGTGGAGGAGCTGGAACTTCTCATTGATCGGTCACGCCACCGTCTGTCCGAACTCCGAATCGGTATTGCCGAAAAGGCCCATATGAGTGCGTGGCTGCTTTGTAGGAAGGAGTCTGAAGGCTCAACGAGTTGGCCTAGAGCCGATGGTGTTCTTGGCATCTTGATGCGGCGGAATCTAGACAACAAGCAGGACAATACCGTCATCGCCTCCCCTGAAGATAAGTCGCTGTCATCCGAGAGTCCAATAAGCAAGTCTCCAACCTCTGCCAAGAGCATAGTTTCATTGACTACAAATGGCGAGCAGCAGTCTTCCAACACCACTAAGGACAAGAAGTCCCCGCCAAGCTCTAGTTTGCCTAACCGGAGTGCCCGCTCATCGCTACCTTCCTATAAATCCGACTCTGAGATACTTCATCTTAAAGTGCTCGAGCTGGAACGCATACCTCTTTCTTTGCCAACACTATTGCCGGCTATTGACTGGACTGGAGTGACTACTCTCACCATTATGCGATGCGAGGATCATGAAAAGCTGTGGAGGGCTCTACGTCGCAAGTATGCTCCTCCTACGATGCCGACAAAACGCCCACGGGATGCAGAGCACCGAGCAAGTGCCAGCTCAGCTGAATATTCGCTAAATCTGAAGCAAATTCGTACGGACACTGTTTCGCCTTATCTTATGCTGTTTATCAAGGATGCGCTGGCTCCAAATACATTGGAAAGTGTTTATTTGCATGAAGCCCCAGGTCACGAATCTGCTGTGCAGATCGACGCCATTTACAGGCATATTCTGCGAAAGCACAGACAAAGTCTGCAACAGGTGTTGATTGACGCCACTGACCGTATAATTGGCACCGGATATTCAGGAACGCGATGGCACAAGTGGATTTTCAACCACGACATGGTTTCATTTGTCACAAGTGGAAAGATGCCGCAGTTGAAAGAGTTGGGAATGGCGATGCACTATAGCGATTGGGTAAGAGAGCGACCACTATTTCTGAAATTGTCGACCAGACCTCAGGGACTTGCGCTAATGAAGACTTCGCAGCATTTCTTCCTCCAGAGATTGCCGAATATGCCCCAGCTTCGTGCCTTGTATCTATCACACATTCGCCATGTCGTCCACCGCGACTTGAAAGAGCTTGCGCTGCAAGTTTTGGATATCGTCAGCATACGTCCGGAGCTGAAGATCGCCTACATCGGTCTCCACGTCAAATGCTACCAAATTCTTGAAGCCAGACATGACGATAACCCACTAGATTTCGACGACCACCCTGCGATTGATCCTTCTCCGACGCACAGCGAGGATGAGGATGAAGGCTGGGCTAATCCCAACCACGCATCCGATGAAGACAGCGATGATTCCAACGAAGACGGCTCCGGGGCAGCTGACACAGAGCTCATTTCCAGTGACCTGGATGACTACGACACCGAACCCGACGAAGAACAGAGTGCCTCACGGATTCGGTACCGGCTACAGGAGATTTTATTTTACGATGAAAAAGTATCCATTTTCAAGGCGCGTCACGGTGTTTTGTGATCTTATCTTGGCTTGCATTCTGTACGCACATCTGCCATTTGTGGTGTTTAAGGGAGAACAAAGAGGTTACAGGAGATACCATGGCTGTTAAGTTTAGCACTAAGGTTAATTTGGCCAACCTTTGAAATGTCACTTTTTTTTTGAGTATAAGCTTATGTTGCATGGGCCACTCCAAGTGGGTCACAGTTGAAAACACTAACCCCATCTCTAAACTCGATCTCTGTCGGGACTCGCCGTGGTTGATGGAATCCATACCGTTCAAATCAATTTTCGAAACCGTTGATGCTCAACAAAGTTGAGAGCATCTCTTCAATATCACTTGAAGAAATTAATCATCAGGAAACAGTTTTGCGAGATGGGATTCTCTATGTTTTGGTGTACAAAAAGGCTTTAGCTTGTGAACTAGGACAAAAGTAATTTTACTCTCTTTGCATAGAGACTGATATGTTAAAGTTGCATAGACAATCTCCTAGAATGTCGCAGTACACACAACATGTACTATGTCAAAATTCAGGGTTGTTGCTATTAAGATTATGCTTTCACGGATCTAGTCGGACCAAGTTGGTACCGAGTGGGGGATCGATTATCTGTTCTTCACGCGTGCAAGTTATGTTGTCGTAGAATTTCTTCGTTAATGCCAAGTAAGGCCAGCTAATGAGTCTGTAAGGGTGTGCGCTAGTGTTTAATGCTTATTTTCATGGCAAGAAAGATTAGTTCAGGCAAACTCGTGATGTGCATTCTCATACTGGGCACGAATCAGTTCGGCCATGATAACACGCCTCTTCATCTTTTCTTCTTTGCTAGCCTTGTCTTTGAATACACGATCCATCTGCTCGAGAGTTCGACCTCTGGTTTCTGGTACAAAGAAGTAGGTCCACACTCCGGCGAGCAAGCAAAAGATGGCGAAAAAGACGTAGGCACCGTATCCGGTGCCTTGGACGAGAGGCGGGGTGATGAGACCCTACAAAAATAAGCAGCATACTTTACACACCGAGTGACCAGATAATGGTAACGAGAAACTTACAACGACGAAGTTGTTGAGCCAGTTGGAGCAAGTTGAAAGAGCAACACCCTTGGCGCGAAGGGAAGAAGGGAAGATTTCTGGCCATGTCAGATTAGGCATTAACAGGAGAAAAGGAGAAAGTTAAATACTGGAAGGCATCACCCACGGGATAGGACCCCAGGTAGCCCCAAAGGCAAGCATGTAGAACAGTAGGAAGGCCACACTTGTCCAACCTTCTGCTTTGTGGGATGGCCAATCCACGGAGTAGATCCCGAACAAAGCAGCAATAATGATGTGAGAGATAGCCATGAGAGCTGCACCACTTAGGAGCAACTTGCGGCGACCAACAACATCCATGGTCCAGATGCTGCTGGTGACACCCACCAACTGCACAACGTTAAGAACGCCGGACATGATAAGTTGCATGCTTGTGTCAAGACCCATCGTCGCAAAGATGGTTGGAGAGTAGTAAATGAGAGCGTTGATACCGATGAACTATCCTTATGATCAGTATGGCTCACTTTTCTCTACACACAAAGAACTCTCACCTGTTGGAAGAATCCCAGTCCAATGCCAATGTGAGTACGGCGCCAGCAGCCCTTCCTGAAGCAATCGGTCCACGACGAAAGCTCTTGCAGAATGGAGTTCTTTCTACCGCTATCTTGCAGATCTGGATGGTTTTCTCTGTTCAATTGCTGGTGGAAGCGCACTTCGGCTTGGATATCCATAAGCTCCTGGCGAACCCGTCTGTCAGATGCTGGCAGCGTACGGAGTCTGCAAAGACTGTCAAGGGCTTCCTCGTCACGGCCCTTTGAAGCCAGCCAACGGGGTGAGAATGGAAGAGCGTAAACTCCAGCAGCGAGTACAAAGCCCGGAATTAACTGGAGCAGGAAAGGGAGGCGCCAGGACCATTCGCCGACCATGTATTGTGTGCCATAGGTCATCCAAAAGGCAATCACAATGCCGAGCACAATGCACCATTCTTCGAGAACCAAGAGGGTTCCCCGGCACTCGGGTGGACCTATTAGGATAGAATTAAAATCAGTATTTAGATCACATGTGTGAGAAAGGAGGGGGAAAAAAACCCCTCTACGAATAAGAGGACACACTGATTTCGAAAATATACAATGGTGCAACCATAGACAACATTCCGATTCCGACACCACCAATCAGCCGAGCCACCGTCAACATAGGATAGCCAGAGGCAGCAGTTTGCAGCACAGAGCCAATAGTGAATATAGCAACAGCGACGAGAATTGAATACCGTCGCGAGATCTTGTCGGCAATCCAGCCCTGGTTGAGAGCACCAATCAAAGCTCCCAGCTCAATCATCGCCGTCAACAGTCCTTTCGCAAAGCCTGAGCCCGGATTCCCCTCGTCAATCCGCGGGAATTCCGTCAAGAACTGGTCCATGACTAGAATAACCGATATGACACCTTGGTCATAGCCAAAAAGTAAACCACCCAGTGTTGAGCAGGCGGCACAAAGAACCACAAACGGGTTGGCTACTAGACCTCGCAGACCGGGTGGGCCATAGGGCTCGCGGTCTGAGGCAATGTCGATGGCAGGGTGAGAGAAGCTTTCTACCGCTAGACCCGATGGTTTTTTTATAGCGGGGATGCTATCAGCCATTTTGAATGAAGATTGAAGAAACTCGAAGATTAATTTTCTCGATTGAAGTAGCAGACGCTCTGATATTTAAACCCCTGCCCCGGAAGCCCTCCAATGATTACACCCAGTTTCCCCAGTTACCCTAGGATAGTACACAAGGGTTGTTCCCTCCGTGAATCGGGGCTGATCTGAAGCCAGGGGGGATCCCCGGTCAGAAAAGCCAATGAGGGCAAAGGTATGAGATGCAAGTCGGGGTAGAGGAGGGAGTAGTAAACGATTCAGCCAGCAGGGGTTGAGCAAGATCGACACGATTGCGATTGTGGGGGAAACACAGAGAAGAAACAGAATAGCACGTCCCTTCGTGGCCATTGGTATTCATGGATGTTTCAACTTTCTCTTGGGTACTCGGCCTTTGAGAAAGAAAAGGCCCAACTATGTTTCTGGTCAGACTGCGCACGTATACTAAGGATGCATACAGGTCATGTCACGGAAGATAGACAGACTTGTGTAGGGGAAAGTAGATCCGTTTTTGAGCCATTTGAGCCATAGACAAGTCCTTTCTATTCATGCCCATAGAGAGACTGTTGAAGTAGTTTTATAGGGATCACTACAGTTAGTTCATCACACGGGATGCTTCAGATGACGAAATTTGCCAACTTCACCGGGCAGTTCGGGCATTTTTGAGCATTTTTGGGCAATTGAAGCCATGCAGTTGGGAAGTCAAGTGACTACAAACCGATTTATCCCAAAGACATACCTGAGCGGTGTCCATTCCGCCTATCTCTCCCCCACGGATTCCAGTTCCTGACCCCACCTCACAACCTGCGACCTTCGGATTTCCCACTTCATTTTGAAAATCATGGCTTCCTTTATGGAGGACCTGTGGTCTAGCATCTTCACCCCAGGACCTACACCAACCCTTCTGCTCGCGACCAACGTCACCTTCGCCGCCCTCCAGCTTCTCTTTTTCGCCCTCCTCTTAGCCACCTATAGCGTTCACTTCGTCGCCCTATCGATCATCAGCGCTGGATTATGGTGGTCTATCAACTGGTTCGCCGTCGAGGTGCGACTTGCCCAGCAGGCGCAGGAGGCCGAGAAAGAAAAAAAAGAGGACGCGAAGACGCGGAAGAGTCCCGCTGTTGGAGAAAACGCCGATAGCGAAACGGAGACCGAGGCCCTTGATTCCAAGAAGACAGATGAGAAGTCTATTGCTGTCGCGACCGGGAGTGCAACGTCCGGGTTGCTGCCCACAGTGCGCGATCCTAAGAAGCGGCTCAGCATGTGTGGTGAGGGGTCCGGGTATGGAAGCACGGATAGTGAATGGGAAAAGGTTGATGATACTCAGTCATGAGGGATACCTGGCACTTGAGGACACACACACACATTTTGCTTTGAGACCTCCACACCGTCGCCTCGGCGGAACACAGTTGGACACTGCATGCTTGCCAGGTCCCGGACCTCTCAACGAATGAATGTAGGACGCATTTATAGTGATACAGACTCTATGGCGACCTTTGCGTGCCTTGGCTGGAATTTGAGTTGGATTTTGGATTTGCATTCGTATATACGCAATGCCCTCTTGTCTGCCTATTTCGGAGCGATACCCCACAAGATGTAGATGGCGCAATTTACAGCAGCTCGCGCTTGGTTTTGATTTTGTTAGGAACTGAAGATTCTTCTTCTCTCTGAATACATCCACTAACACTAACATTCACGTCTATTCCGTCGACCGTACAAAAACCAGAGTAAACTAACCGGGTAGAGTTGAAGCTTCAAAGCATCCACGTGACCTCCATGCAATCCAAACATTGAACTCCTATCGCAACATAACAGAGCCAACCATTGGAGAACGCGACTGAAGCAGCAACCATAAGAGAAAAAAAAAACGTCAGCGAGCTGCCTCTCACAATGCCCGATGTCCCTTGATCAAAATGCTCTCCACCGTACCCCTCAATGTGGGACGTAGGCGCGTCTGCGTCTCCGTCTTCTCCCCCGCGTCGCTTGAAGCTCATACGCAAAAGTCGACCTCGGGGTCCCAACGCGAACATACACCAGTCGAATCATTTCTAGAATCAGCCGACTCCGCGTCGACTTTTAAAGCAGACTCGCAATCAACCTCATTCGCGACGATTGGGGGATCGACGGACGCTGCATCCCCAGAGGACGACACGTTTAACCAGGCACAGCAGACGGCGAAAGAGTTTCTATCAGTGCCTAATCTTGGCTTCGAGTTGCTTTACAACTCTCGGGACACCGATGGAAGTCAGGTGTTGAAAGAATGGAACCGGCTCAGCCCTCCGTCGAGGGAGACGGCCGAGGCGCTGGAGTATCTTATGCGAATCTCTCCATGGTCGTTGTTTGAATGGTATGGGAATGATATTCGGAGGCATTTTTTGGTCAACATTCGGACTGGGCTATTTAAGGTATGGATGCTACACGTCATTTTGAATTTGGTTGGCCTGTCCGTGCTAACGGTCTTGTAGCTGTTGAAGTCCCCCGAAGAAGATGGTCTGCTCCGGACGATCGTGAACTGCTTACAGCTTGCGCGTCGAATTTATCTTGCTCCCGTCGTGCACTACCTACTTCCGTTGATAGCTACTCCACACCAAGGAGGGTTCTTGGCTCAACTACAGCGTACCTTTAATACGGTCGTTCAATACAGTCTACCATGGAAGAAGATTTCACCGCTTCTCGCCAGAGAGCTTACGAAAGATGCTGTGATCATTTTAGGCATTGATACCCTGGACGAAGATTCCGATGTGGACAGAATGAGTCTCGATGGCACGGAGATGGAACGGGCATACTCGGTCTCATACAAAGAATGGAGGCAAGAATTACCCGAAGTCCAGGCACATATGATGGTTGAGGGCGAAGATGGCTCCGTAACCATTGCACGGGATCGACTTTTGGCGTTTCTCAATGCGCTACAGCTGGTCGGGCTTGGCGGCGACCAGGCCCAGAAGGTGTTTGCCAATGTGATGAACATCATGATGGGAGACTTTATCCGTGCCGCGTACGCCGGTGAATGGGACTCGCCCTCGACTGCGCCGCAGCACCTAGAACAATGGGTTGAAAATGTCTATGCACGGCTCGCTGTGCAGGTCCTGGCCATCATCCACTCTGACCCCGCGGGAGCCCAATCCGGGGCAATAGAAGTGGGCTTCCGTGACGTAGAAAAGTGGCGAGCGATGGGTATCGCCCGGCTGGGAAAGCTGCGAGTTAGTGAGCTCTTTGATGTGGTTGTTGATTGGCCTGCAAGCGGCGGGGCTGTGGAGGATCTGCGACGTTTCACAAACTGCTCGTCTGGAGCACGATTATATGTGACGAGTTTCTTTTCTGCTAATTTGCTCCAGCGCTTGTTGCATCCCGGTGCTTCTACAGTCGAGATCTTGCAGGTTTACATTTCGATCATTCGAGCATTCCATATCTTGGACCCCAAGGGTGTTCTGCTAGACCGTATCGCTCGACCGATCCGGCGATACTTGCGAGACCGCGACGACACCGTCAAAGTGATTGTTAGTGGTCTATTGGCAGACCCCGCGGCAGCCGATGGCCCGACAGCTACCGGCGACACCTTGTCAGAGCTGGCGGCAGAGCTGACCAAGGTCCACCAGCATTCCATGCAAAACAACATGAGTGAGCTCGACTATGACGATTTGTACTGGATGCCCGATCCAGTGGATGCCGCTCCCGACTACAGAAAGTCGAAGAGTGTAGATGTCATTGACAGTCTGGTTAGCTTGTTCGACTCTAAAGAGACCTTCGTGAAAGAAATGCAGACGCTTCTCGCGGGCCGCCTCATCCAGAAACGCCAGAACTACGACCAAGAGATTACTGTACTAGAGCTCCTGAAAGTCCGATTCGGGGATTCGGCACTACAGGCATGCGAGGTGATGCTGAAAGATATCGCCGACTCGCGACGTCTCGACCTCACCATGCGGAATGATCAGATCTTTTCCGGAAATCGGAAGCAAGCGGGCGTCGGAAAACTCCACGCCAAGATCCTATCACGCTTCTTCTGGCCGGAGTTCCAGGAACAAGAATTCAAGGTTCCCGATGAAATCACTAAACTGCAAGAGCGGTACGCGGCTTGCTTCGAAAGGCGCAAGGACTCGCGTAAGCTCATGTGGCGTAACGCCTTGGGGCAGGTCACCGTCGAGCTGGAGTTAGAGAACCACACCTTCAAAGACGAAGTGACAACCTGGCAAGCAACTGTAATCTATGCCTTCCAGTCAGACTCGAACGAACCTGCCACAAGAACAATCCCGGAACTCGCCGACGAGCTTGAGATGACACTTCCCCTCGTACGTAGTGCCTGTCTCTTCTGGGTCAGCAAGCGCATCCTGACTGAGGTTCACCGTGACACCTTCCGCGTGCTGGAAATTCTCCCCACAGAAGATGAGGAACACTATGCGCACGCAGCTGGCGACGTCAGCGACGCCTCAGACAGCGAAGCAGGCGATACGGCCAACGCAGCCGCAGCCGCCGAAGCAGCCGCCGCCGCAGCAGCAAAGGAATCCGCCGAGGCGGCTGCTATGGAGAAAATGAATGTGCACTGGCAGTTTATTGTGGGCATGCTCACGAATCAAGGGCCTATGGCTCTGACCCGTATTGTTATGATGTTGACGATAGCCGTGCCTGGTGGGTTTCCATTCAGCAACGAGGAGTTGCGCGAGTTTCTGGGTGGTATGGTTTCGAAGGGCAAGTTGGAGATTGTTAACGGGGGGAATTACAAGATCGTGCGTTAGCATCAGCTACGGGGTTGTCTGCCGGGCATGACCTTTTTCCTTTTTTTTTGGCGTTGCTGGAACAGATGTACAAAATACCCTTTGAAGAATATGATTTTATGAATGATCGATTGGATTAATTTGGTAAATTCATCCAACGGAGGCTCTTCGGCTTTCCCTTTTTTTTTTGCATACATCGTGTTTGTGGCCTTTCTCCAAGGCCCCCTTTCTTCATACTCCTCTTCCTCGCCCCATCGAGCAACTTCACTCGCATCTAAGCAATTTGACTCATGTTCCTTCACAGTCCTTAAACCACATAGTTTCCGTTTCGCTTGAACCTCACGGTAGACTTACAACAAATAACACATCCTCTGGGTCACGAAGGGCTATCTCTGGGGAATGGAGAAGTGACTGGCTCAACGAGCACGGTTATCAGTTCCTAACGGACAGCGAAGAGCCTCGGAAAAGTACAAGAAGACCTGAGGGTTCCGTCGAAGCACCAATCAGACGGTCCTACCATTAGACTAGCAAGTCTCAGACAACATGGAGAAGAAAGTAAAAGAAAAAAAAACTAACTGAATAAAGGTATCATTCAAATCAATAAGCCCCGCAAGCAAACCCGAAACCAAGCTTCATTCCGCATCCAAAAGCGCGACAGGAGCCTGGTCATCAACCTGAATCCCACCCCTCTTCTTCTCATTGCTATCCCAGAACGGTAACTTCCACCCACCCTCACTCTCGGGCGTCGCCAGCCAAAGACGCATAAGATGGCGGCGTGGGGCGGGGGGCGCATGATCTGTGTACGCGGTGCGGGCATGCAGAACGTGTGCATTTGATAAGAACTGAATATCACCAATATCGAGGATCATATGCAGCGACAAGCGCACGCAGGTTTCTTCCAGCACGCGCAGGGCTTCTTGTTGTGCGTTGGACAGAGGGGGAATGATTCCTGCGTCGCTGAAGCGGCTGAGGGAGCGGACATAGTATGGGTCCCATCTTGGTTTGTTATTAGATGCGATGATTGATAATTGGGGATGGAAATGGAAGATGATTGTGGGACTTACTTTGTGTAAACGCGGCCCTTCTCGCCGCGCTCGAGGTACACCACACTGGTGCGAATGTAATCTTCCTGACCCTTGCTTTTCTCACCCTTGCGGTCGAAGTACCAGATTGGTTCTGTGAGGGTCTTGAGGACATCTGGGCGTTCTACGGCGAGAGTGTTGTAGACGTGGTGGGAGGAGACGAGGTCTGATTCGCCGCCTTCGAGGGCCTTGGCGATGCAGAGGAGACCGACGATGTCGGAATCATCCGCGTGGAAATATTGGCTAGGATGAGAGGGTTAGTTTATTGTTCGTTTGGTCTTGTTTGATTCGCCGGAGACGAAACTCACCGAGCATTGGTGCGGTAGATGCGCACTTTGTCAATCTGGGTCGCGTCCTCGCCGAGATCCTTAACATGGCCGAGGACGTGGCCGCGGCTGTTTTGACTGACGAAGTAGCCGAGATATGTGCCGAGACCCATATATGCCACGGCGGACTTGTGGTTACCCCATTTCTCGACGGGGAAGCCCTTGAAGAGGATGAAGCCCTTGCCGTCGAGAAGGTCTGCGCGCAAATCTTGCAGG